CTTTTGCCGACATCCCAAGTGAAGCTGGGATTTATTTATTTTTAAACCTCATCCTTCAGCCGAATTTCACCCGGTTTTCACCATCAGCACCAGGTATCTGGTTGGGGTGGGTGTGCTCAGTCTCCATCTTTTCTGAAGATCCCCATAACATCAGGGACCCCAAGAATGGCAGTGATGTCGGAAGAATCCCCAACATCTGTCGGTCTGTAGGGGACGCGCATAAGCGCACCAACGTGCCTACCGTCCCTTATTGTTTCTTTTTTTTTCTTACTCATATCCATTTCATGTATTCATAACCATGTTTATACTTATATCTGTTATCTGATAATTGCTTGACAAAATAAAATAAAAAATAAAATCTGGGTCCCTTTCCTTCTTTTCCCCTCCGCCAAAGAAAGACACACGTGGGGCTTGCCTGTTGCCCCCCCCCTCCATTTCTTAGCCTCCCGGCTCAAGAAATGGCACCTCCAGCTGGGTAAGAGGGGGGTTAGTAAAAGAGCCTTCTGGCTCCCCAGATACCTTTCGAGGCTCACTTACAGTTTCCAAGGTAATAGGTCCCTCCAGCTTTCCAGAAGCCCCCAGACACACACACACACACACACAAACACACATAAACACACAAACACTCCCCCAGTGCAGCCCGCTCCCTTCCTGGGTCTGCAGCCAAGTGGAAAATCCCTCCCCCATGCCTATGTCTTCCTCCTCCTCCTCCTCCTCTTGTGCCAACTCCAGGTTTAAGGCTAGAGAGCTCCGCCCCCTTGAAAGGCAAAACTCTTGGCAAGGACCCTCTCCTCAAACAATCACAGACCCTGCCGCTCCCACATCAAAGCTACACACACACACACACACACACACACACACACACACAAGCTCGGTTGGGCGTGGGGGGGAAGGGGAGTGAGCTGGCACCTATGGTCCTTTCCTACAGCACCTCCGCGTCTGGGTGGGGAAGCGATGCTAGTGGAGCCCCCCACCCGAGACTCTTAAACAAAACCCGGCATGACCAACTGGAGGGGAAGGGGGGGGGAACACGACAGACAAGGTGAGAAACGCCCCCCCCCCAGACCCCTAACCCTAAGAAAGGGTGAGGTGGTGAGGAGACGCAAGATAACAAAGAACACCCCTCCCCCCTTTGTTTCCTGGAGAGAACTCCTCCCTAGCTCCAGTCCCGGGTGGGGAGGGGCTGCTGGGGGAAGCTTCCCCTCCCTTGCTTGGGGGGTCTGGAGATTCTTGGAGAAGAGTGCTGGAGTTGCAGGGGAGCCATTTCCGGCCTGGGCACTTGGGGAGCAAGTAAGAAAGTCTTTGGAAGCCCCTCACCACTTCTGCCCTCCCTTGGAAGCTGTACTCTGAGTGGAGACCCTCCAGATGGGCAGCCCTGCCTCCCGATTCTAGGCTTACAAGTGGGGTGAGGAGGGAGGGCCGAGGAAGCTTTTCATTGAGTGGGGGGAAAGGAGAAGGGCTCCAGGCTAAGAGCAGATCGGTAAAATGCTAAATTCCTAAACCTTCCCTTCTATCTAGATCTGGGTTTCTCAACCTTGAGGGGTCAGATTAAGAGAGTTGGAAGGGACCTTGTAGGTCATCTAGTCTAGTGGCCCCCAACCTTTTTTGTGCCACGTCCCGGTACTGGCATCACAAAATGATCCGCAGCCCGGTACCGGCATCAGCACGCATGGCAAGGCAAGCTGAGCGACCGGCCAGCCAGCCGTCCCGCTTCTCCCCGCCACCTTCAACTCCTCTGTACCTTTGTCGATGGGCTTCGGGACGGCTTCAGGACGGTCGCTCGGCTCGCCTTGCCTTGGGTGCTGAAAGAATCCTCGCGCCTTAGTTTTGTTCAAAGCCGCCCCACCCCCTTCGATGAAACTAAGGCGCGAGGATTCCTTCAGGACCCAAACGCCGCTTTCCAACCGGAAAAGCTCACCGGAAGCACTTTCTCATCAAAACAAGATGGCGGCGCCCAGCAAACCGGCAGCCCGGTAGAAAATGTTCCACGGACCGGTCCCGGTCCGGGGCCCAGTTGTTGGGGACCCCTGATCTAGTCCACCCCCACCACCCCTACCAAGTAGGAGACCCTACAGCCATTTCAGAAAGATGGAAGTCCAGTTTCTTCTTGAAAGCTTCCACCGACGAAGCTCCCACAACTATCTGAAGGCAACTTCTGTTCCATTGGTTGATGGGATGATTCTCATGGTCAGGAAATTTCTCATTTCTCGGTTGAATGTCTCCTTGATCAGTTTCCATCCATTATTCCTTGCCTGGCCTACAGGTGCTTTGGAAAATAGCTTGACCCCCTTCCTCTCTGTGGCAGACCCTCAAATATTGGCGGACTGTTATCATGTCTCCCTTGGTTCTTCTCTTCACTAGACTAGCCAAGCATAGTTCTTGCCACCGTTAATTGTATGTTTTAGTCTCCAGTCCCTTAATCATCCTGGTTGCTCTTCGCTGCACTTTCTCCAGAGTCTCAACATCTTTTTTATAGTGTGGTGACCAAAACTGGATGCACTATTCTAAGGTGTGGCCTTACTAAGGCTTTATAGAGAGGTACCGTATTAGTACCTCTCTTGATCTTGATTGTATTTCTCTATTAATGCAATTTAGGATTGCAATAGCTTTTTTGGCTATTGCCGCACACTATTGGCTCATATTTAATTGGTTGTCCTTGCTGCTCTCTGGGGTTCTTGGTGATCTCCAAGCATAGCTGTTTTCTTGCAGACATTTCATGATTCAAACAAGGTTAATATCACCAGTGCAAGTGGTAACATCATCAGGACTAACAACAATGATGTTCCCTACTTGGCTGATGAAACATCTGCAAGAAAACATCCAAGCTCAGAGAGCAACACCAAGGACCCCTCTCACTTCAACCCTGAGCTACAAATATTCTCCTTTATTCCTTAACCTTAGCGACTTTACAAATATTTTTTTAATTTTAATTTTTTGCAACATCCCTTCCAGATCTTTTATAAGCTCCCTTCCCCGCTTCCCGTTGTACTTTGGAAATCCATAATTTGGCGGAAATCCAACAAAATGACACATATTTGCTTTTCCTAAGCAGGATGTTTGCGTGTATTATCTCACATTTTTTTATATCAATAAGCACACACATGTAACTTTTTTTTCCTCCTCCTATTTTCCCAACAACCCTGGGAGTGGATTGAACTGAAAGAGAGGGACTGACCCAAAGTTGCCCAGCTGGCTTTTGTGCCTGAGACAAGACGACAACTCAGAGTCTTCTTGTACATTGTGTGGACAGATTTGGGTAAATTATAAATATTTCTATAATATCTCTCCTCCATAGGACCCGGGGTTCTCCTTCCCTAAAGCATCACCACGGTCTTATTTTGTGCAAATGGCCAGAGAACACCTGACACGGCTAGACAGCCGTATGATGGAATCTTCTGGAATTCTCTGGAATGTTTCATTTCCCAATTACTTCTCTTTGTACAGTTCTTTCAAATGTCTATGGCTGTGACGGCGAACCTATGGCACACGTGCCAGAGGTGGCACACAGACCCCTCTCTCTGGGCATGGGAGCCGTCACCCCAGCTCAACTCTGCTGCGCATGCGTGCGTGTGCCTCCCACCAGCCAGCTGGTCTTCGGGTCTCTGCCACGCATGAACAGGGGCAGGGCGTGCACGGGGGTCGCATGTGCATGCGCAGGAGGGATGGGGCGCACATGTGGGGGGGAGGGCACACGCGCAGGGGTTGTATGCGCAGGGGTGGGGCGCATGCACGGAGGTTGCACACATGCGCAGTGGGCATGGGTGTGCATTGCATTTTGGAGATGCGCGTGCGCTTTGGGCACTTGGTGCCGAAAAGGTTAGCCATCACTGGTCCATGGAGATTCTCAATCCGGGTCATGGTTGACCCAAAGGTACTTTCCCAAAAGACATCCATGCTATCTTAGTTTTTGCCTTGGAAACGTTTTGCTCCTTATCCAAGTTTACAGAAAAAAAGAAGAAATTCCAGCTGCCTTTTTGGAAAAGCGCTTTTATTCAATGGTTAGTAAAATTAAAGTGTTCCTTTGATTTTTCACATCATACACCAGGGGTGTCAAACTCAAGGCCTGGGGGCTGGATCCAGCTGGCAGGGCGCTTAGATCTGGCCCACGGGGATACTCTGGAAACAGCAAAGGACTGGCCCGTGGTGCCTCTGCCAGTGAAAACAGAGCTCAGGAGGGCCGCACAAGGACCTTCCAAGATCCGTTTTCACTGGCAGAGTGCTCAGGCCGCCACAGATGCCCCCAACACGAGTGAAGTTGAGCTGACGACGCCCCTCCTGGCCACACCCACTTGTGCCCCACCCCCGAGGTTAAACACAAATCCGATGTGGCCCTCAATGAAATCCGAATTTTTGGCTCGCGACCAAGTAGATAACCAAAAACAAAACAAACTTACCGGCCAAACCAAAAACAGTCTTGGAACTAAAAGGGTTTGCCTGGGTCGGTTCCAAAAATAAACAGCCCAAATCCCCACCGAGGTCTGGGGCCTCTACTGAGGTTTGTCAACAAGTCCGGGGATCCAGGTTTTAGGGCTTGCCAAGGAGAAGTCACAGGAATTGTCCAAGCCAGGAGTTCAGGGGGTCGTTTTCAGCAAAGCCAGCCACAAACAAGCTCCAGACTAACCTTCCAGGTCAATTAGTTCCCCATCAATCTGGCAGATCTCCTCTCTGCCCTGCGCTTCTAGCATCCACCAAGGCTGGCAGCTCCTCTTCCTCTTCCTCATTGGCCTATGAGCTCTCCCCAGCCAAGGCATGTTCTGCCAGCAGCTCAGGGTCAGCAATACCGGACGTGCCAGCAATGCTCTCATTCTCCCACCGCCCCCAGTCCTCTGAAGAAGACGTGGATGAGCCATCATCCACAGGAGACATCACTCTCCCTCCCCCAACCCGGTCCCCAGAGATGGGAAGGTTGGAGAGCTCACGATTCCTTCAGAATGAATCTTTTTATGGGAAATAAGGGGGTTCTTCTGCCTGAACCTTTCCCCACACACTGATCCTTTGATGAGAAGCGAGGTTACTGCATGGACTGAAGCTCTTCTCACACATTGTGTATTTATAGGGCTTCTCGCCAGTGTGGCATCTCATATGATAGACCAGGCTCATGTTCCTATTGAAGGCTTTTCCACACTCTGGACATTTGTAGGGCCTGGCATGGCTGTTTTTATGGAGAGTGAGGCTGCTGCATCGGCCGAAGCTCTTGTCACACTCTTTGCATTTGTAGGGTTTCTGACCTGTGTGGATCCTCATGTGGGCAGTGAGGCTACCGGAAGTGCTGAAGCTGTTTCCACATTCGCTGCATTTATAGGGTTTTTCTCCCGAATGAATCCTCTTATGAGTCGTAAGGTTGTACTTCTGATTGAAGCTCTTCCCACATTCTGTGCAATGATAAGGTCTCTCTCCCGTGTGAAGCCTCTTGTGAATAGTAAGCGTGTAATTTTTACAGAAGTTCTTTCCATACTCCGCACATACATAGGACTTCTCTACGGAATGCATTTTTTTATGGGTACAAAAGACACCACTGTCAATAAAACCCTCTCCACACACGGTACATATATATGGAATTTTTCCTGAATGGGAAGAAAGGTCACTGCCGAAACCAAAGCTCTTTCCACTCTCAGTGGATTTATACAAATTCTCCCACACGCGGATACTTTGATGAGATCTTAGTTGACTTTTCCACTGGAAGCTCTTTTTGCATTCCGCACACTGATAGGGTTTCTCCTCTGAATGGACCTTTTTATGACTCCGGAGAGCATTGCGGTCGCAAAAACTCTTGCTGCACTCTGTATAGGCGTACGTTTTTTCTCCCGTGTGGATCCTGTTGTGCGACAACAGGGATCCACTTGAACTGTAGCTCTTCCCACATTCCATACATTGGTAGGGCTTCTCTCCCATGTGCCTCCTTGTGTGAAAAGTCAGGTTGCGGCTCATGCTGAAGTTCTTTCCACACTGCAGACAGTTGTACGGTTTCTCCCCGGTATGGACTCTTTTGTGTAGAGTAAGTTCACTGTTCAATCTAAACCTCTTTCCGCATGTCGCACATGGAAATGGTTTCTCCCCCGTATGGATTCTCATATGGGAAGCGAGTTCACTCGTCCACCTGAAATTCTTTCCACACTCGGCACATTTCCATGGTTTCTCTCTTGGGAGGAGCCCTTTACGGGAAGTGGGGCTCCTGCTCCTACTGAAACTCTTTCCACACCCTTTGGGTGTCTTGGGTTTCTCTGCAGCCCCTGGATGGGTTTGTTGACATGAAGTCAAACCAAAGCTTTGGCTGGAAGAGATTCCATGCTGTCTGCACTCACACGGGTTGTCTCTAATTTTAGTTTCGCAATGATTACATCTCTCGGACTGATCCCTGGGTATTTCCTCACGGGGCAGGAAATTCACATTTTGATTTCCGGTGTGATCCCACTGAGTCAGGAATTCATGGACTTCATCAAGATGGGAAGCAGGTGATTTCTTCTGCGTAGATGTTGACTTCTTTTCCCCAAATGTTCCTGATCTCCAGTGGTTTTCAAAAATCACATTTCCCACTTTGGCACTGGTTGGTTGCAAAGTCACTGTGTCTGGCGCCTGACAATTCTCACTGTTCTCCACACCTGCTTCCGGAGAGAGAAACAAAGCATGAACTATTTTTTAAGACTGGGCTTCCAGAGATTAATGCCAACTAGATAATGAATTAATTCTAATGGGAATGGATCACAGTGTCTAGCAAGATTTTTTGTTTCCTGGATAGGTTTTTTTTTTTAAATTTACATTTTGATTACACAACTATCTCAGAAGTCATCTCTTGGCTGAACTGTTCCCCACTGAGGATATTGCAACTATTTTTGCCTTTGCAAAAAAAAAAAAAAAATGAAGCTTAAAACAAAGGAACAATAGAGAGGACAAAGACTGTAATGAAATGGCCATGCAGATAAGCCACAAATGTTGCTTACAATTCTGCAAAGTTTTTGTTTTAACTGCCAGGAACTGAGCAAACAGGACAGCTCTTTTCAATTTTGGAGAGGCAAATCTCCCACGGCGGTAATAGTAAAACGAGCAACTAAGTCTTACAGAAAAAGACAGAAGGAAGGGCATATTTATCATTGAGAAGATGATTAAAAGTTCAGCACAGCAATATAGGCAGTCCCCTCCCTTAGCGATCCTAATTGACCCTGGCAAACAAAGTGCTTGTTAAGTGAAACATTATGCACCTTCAACTTGTGACCTCCGGCCAGCTGTCTTGTTGGAAGCCAGCCGGGAAGGTTGCAAATGGCTATCACATCACTGTGGAACACGGCCACTGTCATATATGCAGGATGGTTGTCAAGTGCCCAATTGTGATATAACCATAGAGATGTCGCAACCATGGTGAGGACTATCCATAAGCCATTTTTTCCCCCAGCTCTGTCATAACTTTGAAGAATCACTAAAAAAAAAGGTCTTTAAACAAGATCTACCTATATTTTCCAGATATCTAGAAGGTGTCTGACCCAGCTTTCACGAGCCCCACTCAACAGGCTACTCATGAGGAGAAACCCCTTTTTATTTAGAAAAGCAGGAATACACGGTATTCATTGACAACGCTCCAGGTCACACATTCTTAGGTGATTTGCAAGCAGTAGCAGTTCTGAGTTCCCCCGCAGGGAACGTCAATTATCACTTCAATCCCAACACAGAGAGTCCTGACCAACCTGGGTAATGTCCGGAACTCTTCTGGAGCATGAATGGTTGTCTCTGACAACCGCACCTCCCACACCCCTCTTCCTGATATCCCAGGCAAGGAGGGGCCTGTTAACGTTTACTTCTTTTTCTGGACAGCTGGCCCTCCGTCCTACATTGCTCTTCTCTCCACACTTCTCTGCGCATACGCGCATCTGGGATAGGCCCCAGCTGTTCCTCCTCCTTACTCAACTCATCCCCCAAAAGCAGCAGTCTCTCCGTGTGAGCGTGAGTAGAAAGTCCTCCTCTGCATCTGGCTCTGAGACCTCCTGCTCCTCAGAGCCTTCCACAGGCCACGATGGTAACCCACTCCATCTCTTCTCACTCCTCTGACTTGACTGCCACCAGACGAACCACAACAGAAGGAGTAACAGAACAGAATAACAAAATAACAGAGTTGGAAAGGGCCTCGGGTGGGTCTTCTAGTCCAACCCACTAACGGTAACATGAAAGCAATGTTCCAATATCTAAGGGGCTGCCACAAAGAAGAGGGGGGTCAACCTATTCTCCAAAGCAGCTGAAGGCAGGGCAAGAAGCAATGGATGGAAAGTAATCAAGGAGTGAAGCAACCTAGAACTAAGGAGGAATTTCCTGACAGTGAGAACAATTAATCAGTGGAATGACTTGTCTCCAGAAGTCGTGGGTGCTCCAACATTGGAGGTTTTCAAGAAGAGACTGCACAGCCATTTGTCTGGAATAGTATAGCATAGGGTTGAGCATGGGGTTGGACTAGAAGACCTCCAAGGTCCTTTCCAACTCTGTTGTTATTATTATTATAAATAGGCTGCTCACTTCCAAATGCCTGTTCCCACTATCTGAAGGGCAAAGAGAGGTCTATTACCCAGAGATGCCAGGTGTGGAATTCTCCTGCATGACTTCCCCGTGGAGGGACTTTTGGGTGGAATCCAGCAGAGCCCACTCCTCCTTGGAAAAACACACCACCACCTCCTGGAAGGACACGGCACTCTGACGGAAGGGAGAAAATATTAAGAGATACCCTTGAGGTGTTGAAAGATCTCTGCTTTAATCTTCATCAGACAATTTTAGGGCAGGATTCCACACTGTAAGAAGAAAACAGTAAAGTATTACAGTCTATGGATTCAACAGCACTTTAAGGGAGGATTCCCTTTCCAGAAAAGAGGGGGATCACTTTTGACCCTGTATGAAGGGGAAAAAAATCCAAAGTGGGTGATCCACTGATGGACCTTCTCAAAGCTTTTGTTTGGATTTTGGACTTCTTCCTTCCGCAAAGGAAAAAAGGGAACCACAGCTCGTCCTACTGAAGATTATGCGACGTGCCATCATCTCCCAGAAGTACCAGGAGGGGAAACATTCAAACACATGGTGGTACCCCAGTGGGATCAGAGACATAGAAGCTATGCTCCTCGTGGTTCCTAACCATGATTAGCAATAGCAATAGCACTTAAACTTATATACGCTTTATACAGTGCTTTACAACAGTGGTTGCCAACTGGTGGGCTGTGGCCCACTGGTGGTCCGCAAGAAGATTTTGGTGGTCCGCAGAGAAATGTTGCCTCCAAAGCACTCCCCCGAAAGCAATTAATCCAGGCTGCATGGGAACGCAAGACTGCGCCACCCACATGGCCCGCCCACCTGCTGGCCCCCACCCTTTGGCCAAGTGCAAACCTTACCTAGAGTACAGCCACGTGAGCTGGAACTGGAAGGTAAGACCAACAGCAGGGGAGGGAAATCCGCCCTGGGGTGGTTTGCTGACGTTGGTGGGAAAGTCGGTCCCATATTCCGGAGCTGCAGTAGTCACAAGACTGGCCCTTTGGTCATCCCAGAGCAGCTCCTCCAGTCCATGGCAGGCCGGTGTACCTGGGTGGAGGAGCAGCTGCTCCAGGATGACCAAAGGGCCATTCCTGTGACTACTGCAGCTCTGGAATATGGGACCGACTTTCCCACCAACATCAGCAAGCCACTGTCAGTCAAAATTCATATTAGTGGTCTGCAGGATTTAAAATTACGAGTTTGGTGGTCCAAACCAAGTCGGTCCCTGAGGTCCAAAAAAATTGGCGACCCCTGGACTAGAAGACCTCCAAGGTCCCTTCCAACTCTGTTATTCTATTCTATTCTATTCTATTCTATTCTATTCTATTCTATTCTATTCTATTCTAATTTTAATTCTAATTCTAATTCTAATTCTAATTCTAATTCTAATTCTAATTCTATTCTATTCTGATGAGAAACCCACTTCTTCCTCTGCACATTGATCTTCCTCATCTATCAGTTGGCAGGCTTAAATCCAGGAAGCCCTCTCTGGCACTGGCTCAACAGCTGTCTAACACCTTTTGACATCAACACAGAGTGGAAAGCCAAGTGGGCTGCTGAACACCCAGATACAGGCAGCTACATAGTTGACCCTACACAAAAGGTGCCAGGTTTTGACCTTCCTCACCAGCATTGGTCAACTCTGAACGGGATCCGTACCCAACATGGTGTCTACCAGGGCTCCTTGTCTAAGTGGGGTCTTGTCTCAACCCCTCAGTGTGACTGTGGCGCTCCTCAACAAAATAGCCATCACATTGTGTCCGAATGTCCACCAAGAGCTGACACCGATCCAATGTCTGATTTTTTTCAACGTAGGCCATCCTGTCCTTCAATGGCTGGGTGGACTTGACATTAACATTTGAACCACTATAAGGCCAATGTATTCACCATATACTAAATCTATCTATGTATATAAAAGCAAAATACCACTCACGCATCATCACAAAATCTCCACAACCGTAAAGCCTACAAACTTGAAATCTGGCATGTATGTTCCTCTTGGCTTCTAGGTGCTCACTAAGAAAGGATTTTTCCAAATGACCATCATCAGAGCATTAGTATTTCCTATATTATTATTATTATTAACACACTCTGGTGCTAAGGAGTTCTACTCCCCTGCCCCACCTGAAAAGAAATCTGTTCCAAATGCAAAACACAAGCAGAGGAGTTTCAGTTTCGGTTTCACCAAGCAGCTTTAGTACAGAACAGTTCAGCTAAGCCACACCCAGGCTCCTTGCTGTCTCCTGCTTGCTCACACAGCAAATACTGTTTCCATTTCCAAACAGCCTTCAACTCTCACACAGACAGGACACTAGCCAGAGGGATACCGATGGACGCTGGTAGGCACAGCCAGAATTGTTCCTCCTTATTTTCCTCCCCAAAAACTAAGCCTGACCACATACTTTTGTAGCGAAGCACGGGGATCGACCTAGTAAATAAATAAATGCAGGATGACTATTAAAAAAACCTATTCGCATTCAAGGTAATCCTGGGAATCCAGGTTCTGAAGATGGGAGAAGCTGGACACAAAGACAGAATCCATCCTTACCTGCTAAGATCTCAAGAATGTCATTTTCCTGGGAGGTTCCCTTGAAAAGGGAGGAATCTGAGGAATCCATCCCCGTGTTGGCGCTTTGTGGAT